GTATATATTCAGATCTGGGCCCCCCCCTCCCCCCCCCGCGGGTATATATTCAGCTGGGCCCCCCCCCAGAAGTGTATATAGATCCCTCACTACATGTGATCTTGGAAGTGGGGTGGGGTATTGGCTGGTGATTTAGTGGGTGGGTAATGGAGGTGAAAATATGTGAAACGGGGGGGGGGAATGGGGGTTATGGGTTAGGGGGGGTAATGGGGGGTTGAGTATGGGGGGTGATTATGGGGTTACGGGGGTGATTATGGGGTACGGGGGTGATTATGGGGTACGGGGGGTGATTATGGGGTTGTAGGGGGGTGGGGGTAATGGGGTAGGGGGGTGATTTATGGGGGTACGGGGGGCTTTGTCAGGACCAGGGAAGGCAGCTTTCAGCATCTTTATTTTTGCTCCTGTTTTTCCAATGCTTTTGCAAAGATCGAAAGAATTCATAAGCAGAATGTTTTTGTTCTTTTTGTTTTCTTTTTGTTATTGTTCTTTTCTTTGATTTTCTGAGTTAGTGTATTTGTATCTTGACCTGTTCCCCTTGCAATATCCCTATCGTTTATATATTCCTATTGGCTGGGAATCTACTGCACACCTCTCCTCCTACCTCAAACTACACTGTGAATGAATTTCCAAACCAACCAACCTTTGTGCCGCTGGTTTTTTGAAAATCTGATTGGCTGGTGAATGGTGGTGTTTTGCCGGGAATGACGGGGCCCCCGAACAGAGAGAGTCGCCAGAGCAGCAGCAGGCAGGCCAATGAGTGTGGAAGACGACGTGGAGGGTCACCTGATCTATCGCAACGGCGACTGGCTACAAGAACGATGTACAGCCAAATCGTAACATACAATTTAGCTCTCTAGTTCTAAGACCCCCCCCCTCCCTCCCCCCAGTAGGACTCGACTGCACACTTGTCTGTCTTTATTTTGTGTTGATTAATGCAGAGAACGCCCCCCCCCTCCTCCTCCCCCCTCCTCTATATTATGTACCATCCTCTGTATAGAGCCACCTTATAGCCAATAGTCGGAGGGCAGGAAGATGTTAGAGTAACTGATTGTGGCTCAGCCTGACAGATGGCACCGCCGCTCCCGCCCCCTCCTGACCCCGCCTTCTCTCTGCTTCTCCTCACAGATGAGATTGTCAGCACCCTGGGCGAGGGCACCTTTGGCCGGGTTGTACAGTGTCTAGACCACAGACGGTGACGGTGTGATGGCGTTACAGAAATATCGCATGACGGAAAACATGGCGCCGATCCGCCACGTCCCCCCCCCGTCGCACCGATCCGCCACGTCCCCCCCCCGTCGCACCGATCCGCCACGTCCCCCCCCCCCGTCGCGCCGATCCGCCACGTCCCCCCCCCCGCGCCGATCCGCCACGTCCCCCCCGTCGCGCCGATCCGCCACGTCCCCCCCGTCGCGCCGATCCGCCACGTCCCCCCCCGTCGCGCCGATCCGCCACGTCCCCCCCCCGTCGCGCCGATCCGCCACGTCCCCCCCCCGTGCGCCGATCCGCCACGTCCCCCCCGTCGCGCCGATCCGCCACGTCCCCCCCCCCCGTCGCGCCGATCCGCCACGTCCCCCCCCCCGACGTCGCGCCGATCCGCCACGTCCCCCCCCCCCACGTCGCGCCGATCCGCCACGTCCCCCCCCCACGTCGCGCCGATCCGCCACGTCCCCACCCACGTCGCGCCGATCCGCCACGTCCCCCTCCCCCCCCACCCGTCGCCGCCGATCCGCCACGCCCCCCCCCCCGTCGCGCCGATCCGCCACGTCCCCCCCCAAGTGCTGTGACTTTCCCTGACAGTTGCCAGCGGTCGTGCAGCGCTGCCCCCCCAGATGACGTTTCCATCCTTTCGGTGGGATTTGATCCTCGGCGCGGTTTTTTATTCTTTGTGTTGTAAACCGAAAAGTGCGACAATTCCGAGAAACTGTTTTTGTGTCTTTGCTACGAAACGTGTCCAGCGATGGATCCAATGTCACCATAAATGTCTCCGTGTTTCCTGCAGCGGAGGCAGCCGAGTGGCTCTAAAAATCATTAAAAACGTGGAGAAATACAAAGAGGCGGCACGGCTGGAGATCAACGTGCTGGAGAAGATCATCGAGAAAGACCCCGACAACAAATAGTGAGCGACTTCCGCCCTCTACCCTCCCCCCCAGGGGTGCCCGGAGCTCCCTTCCCTATAACCCTCCCCCCCCGGGGTGCCCGAGCTCCCCAGGAGTCCTCTACCCTCCCCCCCGGGGTGCCCGGAGCTCCCTTCCCTCTACCCCCCCCCCCGGGTGCCCGGAGCTCCCTTCCCTCTACCCTCCCCCCCGGGGCGCCCGGAGCTCCCTTCCCTCTATACCCATCCCCCCCGGGGCGCCCGGAGCTCCCCCCCCCCCCCCCGGATCCCCTCCCCCCGGGGCGCCCGGAGCTCCCTTCCCTCCCCGGAGCGCCGGGAGCTCCCTTCCCTCCCCCCGGAGCGCCCGGAGCTCCCTTCCCCCCCCCGGAGCGCCCGAGCTCCCTTCCCCCTCCCGGAGCGGAGCCCCTTCCCTCCCGGAGCTCCCGGAGCTCCTTCCCTTCCCGGAGCGCACCGGAGCTCCCTTCCCTCCCGGAGCGCCCGGAGCCCTTCCCTCCCGGAGCGCCCGGAGCTCCCTTCCCTCCCGGAGCGCCCTCCCCTTCCCTCCCGGAGCGCCCGGAGCTCCCTTCCCTCCCGGGGCGCCCGGAGCTCCCTTCCCTCCCCGGGGCGCCCGGAGCTCCCTTCCCTCCCGGGGGCGCCCGGAGCTCCCTTCCCTCTACCCTCCCCCCCCGGGGCGCCCGGAGCTCCCTTCCTCTAACCCCTCCCCCCCCGGGGCGCCCGGAGCTTCCCTTCCCTCTACCCCTCCCCCCCGGGGCGCCCGGAGCTCCCTTCCCTCCCGGGGGGTAGCGCCCGTGAGCTCCCTTCCCTCCCGGGGCGCCTCGGAGCTCCCTTCCCTCCCGGGGGCGCCCGGAGCTCCCTTCCCTCCCGGGGCGCCCGGAGCTCCCTTCCCTCCCGGGGCGCCCGGAGCTCCCTTCCCTCTACCCTCCCCCCCGGGGCGCCCGGGAGCTCCCTTCCCTCTACCCTCCCCCCCGGGGCGCCCGGAGCTCCCTTCCCTCTACCCTCCCCCCCGGGGCGCCCGGAGCTCCCTTCCCTCTACCCTCCCCCCCGGGGTGCCCGGAGCTCCCTTCCCTCTACCCTCCCCCCTGGGGTGCTCGGAGCTCCCTTCCCTCCCCCCCAGGGGCGCCCGGAGCTCCCTTCCCTCTACCCTCCCCCCGGGGTGCCCGGAGCTCCTTTCCCTCTACCCTCCCCCCGGGGTGCCCGGAGCCCACTTCCCTCTACCCTCCCCCCGGGGTGAGTGCTCGGAGCTGCCTTCCCTCTACCCTCCCCCCTGGGGTGCCCGGAGCTCCCTTCCCTCTACCCTCCCCCCTGGGGTGCCCGGAGCCCTCTACCCTCCCCCCTGGGGTGCCCGGAGCCCCCTTCCCCCCCCCCCCCTTGTGCTCTTGGGATGTCCCCTTTCCTCTCCTGTACCCCCGGGGCTCCCCTCTTATTGGGTTTTTGTGTTTTTGCTCCCCTCCCCCATGCCCCTCTCCTCGCATTGGGGGTGTACATGGTGTGTGTTGCTCCCCTCCCCCCTCTCGCGGTGTGTGTTGCTCCCTCCCCCCTCTCGCGGTGTGTGTTGCTCCCCTCCCCCCTCTCGCGGTTGTGTGTTGCTCCCCTCCCCCCTCTCGCGGTGTGTGTTTGCTCCCCTCCCCCTCTCGCGGTGTGTGTTGCTCCCCTCCCCTCTCGCGGTGTGTGTTGCTCCCCTCCCCCTCTCGCGGTGTGTGTTGCCCCCCTCTCGCGGTGTGTGTTTGCTCCCCCTCCCCCTCTCGCGGTGTGTGTGTTGCTCCCCCTCTCGCGGTGTTGTGTTGCTCCCCTCCCCCTCCCCTCTCACGGTGTGTGTTGCTCCCCTCCCCCTCTCGCGGTGTGTGTTGCTCCCCCTCTCGCGGTGTGTGTTGCTCCCCTCCCCCTCCCCCTCTCACGGTGTTTGTGTTGTGTGTTGCTCCCCTCTCACGGTGTGTGTTGCTCCCCTCCCCCTCTCGCGGTGTGTGTGTTGCTCCCCCTCTCGCGGTGTGTGTTGCTCCCCTCCCCCTCTCGCGGTGTGTGTTGCTCCCCTCCCCCTCTCGCGGTGTTGTGTGTTGCTCCCCCCCCCCTCTCGCGGGTGTGTGTGTGCTCCCCTCCCCCTCTCGCGGTGTGTGTTGCTCCCCTCCCCTCTCGCGGTGTGTGTTGCTCCCCCCTCTCGCGGTGTGTGTTGCTCCCCCTCTCGCGGTGTGTGTGTTGCTCCCCCTCTCGCGGTGTGTGTTGCTCCCCCTCTCGCGGTTGTGTGTGTTGCTCCCCTCTCTCGCGGTGTGTGTTGCTCCCCCTCTCGCGGTGTGTGTTGCTCCCCCCTCCCCCTCCCCTCTCGCGCGTGTGTGTTGCTCCCCTCCCTCCCCTCCCCTCTCGCGGTGTGTGTGTTGATCCCCCCTCCCCCTCCCCTGCGGTGTGTGTGTTGCTCCCCCTCCCCTCCCTCGCGGTGTGTGTTGCTCCCCTCCCCCTCCCCTCTCGCGGTGTGTGTTGCTCCCCTCCCCCTCCCCTCTCGCGGTGTGTGTTGCTCCCCTCTCCCGGTGTGTGTTGCTCCCCTCTCACGGTGTGTGTTGCTCCCCTCCCCCTCTCGCGGTGTGTGTGTTGCTCCCCTCTCGCGGTGTGTGTTGCTCCCCTCCCCCTCCCCTCTCACGGTGTGTGTTGCTCTCCCTCCCCCTCCCCTCTCACGGTGTGTGTGTTGCTCCCCTCCCCCTCCCCTCTCACGGTGTGTGTTGCTCCCCTCTCGCGGTGTGTGTTGCTCCCCTCCCCCTCCCCTCTCACGGTGTGTGTTGCTCCCCTCTCACGGTGTGTGTGTTGCTCCCCTCTCACGGTGTGTGTTTGCTCCCCCCCCCTCTCACGGTGTGTGTTGCTCCCCTCTCACGGTGTGTGTTGCTCCCGCAGTCTGTGTGTTCGGATGTTCGATTGGTTCGATTATCACGGTCACATGTGCATCTCCTTCGAGCTCCTGGGTCTCAGCACCTTCGACTTCCTGAAGGAGAACAACTACCTGCCGTACCCCATCCACCAGGTGCGCCACATGGCTCTGCAGGTGTGCCAGGCCGTCAAATGTAAGTTGTGGGCGTGTCATGTGACCCGCTGAGCGCCGCGTGATGTCATCGCCTCTAACAATCTCTCCTCTGACCGCCAGTTCTCCATGACAACAAACTGACTCACACCGACCTCAAGCCGGAGAACATCCTATTCGTGGATTCCGACTACGACCTGACCTACAACGTGGAGAAGGTGGGTGTGTCCTCACTGCCCGGGGGGGGGGGGGGCTTCAGAGGGAGGGGTGGGGTCTTCAGAGGGAGGGGGTGGGGTCGTCTGAGATAGCTGAATAGGTACCCTTCCCCCACCAATCCCACTGTTTCTCTGACCCCCCAAGGCGGCCCCTCCCCCGGTACTTTTCTGACCCCACCCAAGGCGGCCCCTCCCCCGGTACTTCTCTGACCCCACCCAAGGTGGGCCCCTCCCCCGGTACTTCTCTGACCCCACCCAAGGTGGCCCCTCCCCCGGTACTTCTCTGACCCCCCCAAGGCGGCCCCTCCCCCGGTACTTCTCTGACCCCACCCAAGGCGGCCCCTCCCCCGGTACTTCTCTGACCCCACCCAAGGCGGCCCCTCCCCCGGTACTTCTCTGACCCCACCCAAGGTGGCCCCTCCCCCCGGTACTTCTCTGACCCCCCCAAGGCGGCCCCTCCCCCGGGTACTTCTCTGACCCCACCCAAGGTGGCCCCTCCCCCGGTACTTCTCTGACCCCCCCCCCCCCCCCAAGGCGGCCCCTCCCCCGGTACTTCTCTGACCCCACCCAAGGCGGCCCCTCCCCCGTACTTCTCTGACCCCACCCAAGGTGGCCCCTCCCCGGTACTTCTCTGACCCCACCCAAGGCGGCCCCTCCCCCGGTACTTCTCTGACCCCACCCAAGGTGGCCCCTCCCCCGGTACTTCTCTGACCCCACCCCCCCCAAGGCGGCCCCTCCCCCGGTACTTCTCTGACCCCCCCCAAGGTGGCCCCTCCCCCGGTACTTCTCTGACCCCCCACCCAAGGCGGCCCCTCCCCCGGTACTTCTTCTGACCCCCCAAGGCGGCCCCTCCCCCGGTACTTTTCTGACCCCACCCAAGGCGGCCCCTCCCCCGGTACTTTTCTGACCCCCCAAGGCGGCCCCTCCCCCGGTACTTTCTGACCCCCCCAAGGCGGCCCCTCCCCCGGTACTTCTCTGACCCCCCAAGGCGGCCCCTCCCCCCGGTACTTCTCTGACCCCACCCAAGGTGGCCCCTCCCCTCGGTCCCCCTGGAAGATCTAACGTTTGCCCCTTCTCTCCCGGTGACCCCAGAAGCGGGATGAGAGGTGTGTGAAGAACACGTCCGTCAGGGTGGTGGATTTCGGCAGCGCCACGTTTGACAGCGAACATCACAGTACTATAGTGTCCACCCGCCACTACCGAGCGCCGGAGGTCATCCTTGGTGAGTGCCGTGTCAGGGTACGTCCTGTGTGCTGTTGTTTCCTGTAGCCTTGTATGACACCATTGTACCCCTCCCCCTCCTCAGAGCTGGGATGGAGTCAGCCGTGTGACGTGTGGAGTATCGGATGTATTATCTTCGAGTATTATGTGGGCTTCACCCTCTTCCAGGTGAGTGTGTACTCTGCTGGGGTCCCTGGCCTGTACCCCTGGGGGGGGGGGTGGGGTGACACTGGGGTCCCTGGCCTGTACCCCTGGGGGGGGGGGGGTGAACACTGACACTGGGGTCCTGGGGTCCTGGCCTGTACCCCTGGGGGGGGGGGGGGTGACACTGGGGTCCCTGGCCTGTACCCCTGGGGGGGGGGGGGGGTGACACTGGGGTCCCTGGCCTGTACCCCTGGGGGGGGGGGGGTGATACTGGGGTCCCTGGCCTGTACCCCTGGGGGGGGGGGGGGGTGATACTGGGGTCCCTGGCCTGTACCCCTGGGGGGGGGTGACACTGGGGGTCTGTACCCCTGGGGGGGGGTGACACTGCTGTACCCCTGGGGGGGGGGGGGTGACACTGCCCTGGCCTGTACCCCTGGGGAGGGGGGGGGTGACACCGCCCTGAGCTGTACCCCTGGGGAGGGGGGGGTGACTCCGCCCTGAGCTGTACCCCTGGGGAGGGGGGGGGTGACTCCGCCCTGAGCTGTACCCCTGGGGAGGGGGGGGGTGACCCGCCCTGAGCTGTACCCCTGGGGAGGGGGGGAGGTACCCCTGGGGGGGGGGTGACTCCGCCCTGAGCTGTACCCCTGGGGAGGGGGGGACTCCGCCCTGAGCTGTACCCCTGGGGGGGGGGGGGGTGACACCGCCCTGAGCTGTACCCCTGGGGAGGGGGGGGGGGTGACTCCGCCCTGAGCTGTACCCCTGGGGGGAGGGGGGTGACACCGCCCTGAGCTGTACCCCTGGGGAGGGGGGGTGACTCCGCCCTGAGATGTACCCCTGGGGAGGGAGGGGGGGTGACTCCGCCCTGAGCTGTACCCCTGGGGGGGGGGGGGGGGTGACTCCGCCCTGAACTGTACCCCTGGGGAGGGGGGGGGTGACACCGCCCTGAACTGTACCCCTGGGGAGGGGGGGGGGTGACTCCGCCCTGAGCTGTACCCCTGGGGTCCCCGTCCTGACTCATGGTGGCGCTCTCCTCCACAGACACATGACAACAAGGAGCACCTGGCTATGATGGAGAGGATCCTGGGCCCAATCCCCTCCCGGATGATGGTTCGGAAGACCAGGGTAAGGGATTGTGGGGGGGGCCGTGCCTGGGGGGCTAATCTATCCTGGGGGGGGGGGGACTCTCCTCTTACCTGTGCGTGTCTGGGGGGGGACGCTCCTCTTAACCTGTGCGTGTCTGGGGGGGACGGACGCTCCTCTTACCTGTGCGTGTCTGGGGGGGGACGCTCCTCTTACCTGTGCGTGTCTGGGGGGGGGGGACGCTCCTCTTACCTGTGTGTGTCTGGGGGGGGGGACGCTCCTCTTACCTGTGCGTGTCTGGGGGGGGGGGACGCTCCTCTTACCTGTGCGTGTCTGGGGGGGGACGCTCCTCTTACCTGTGCGTGTCTGGGGGGGGGACGCTCCTCTTACCTGTGCGTGTCTGGGGGGGGGACGCTCCTCTTAACCTGTGTGTGTCTGGGGGGGGGGACGCTCCTCTTACCTGTGCGTGTCTGGGGGGGGGGGGGACGCTCCTCTTACCTGTGCGTGTCTGGGGGGGGACGCTCCTCTTACCTGTGCGTGTCTGGGGGGGGACGCTCCTCTTAACCTGTGTGTGTCTGGGGGGGGGGGGACGCTCCTCTTACCTGTGGCGTGTCTGGGGGGGGGGGGGACGACGCTCCTCTTACCTGTGTGTGTCTGGGGGGGGGGTGGACGCTCCTCTTACCTGTGCGTGTCTGGGGGGGGACGCTCCTCTTACCTGTGCGTGGTCTGGGGGGGGGGAGACGCTCCTCTTACCTGGGTGCTGGGGGGGGGACGCTCCTCTTACCTGTGCGTGTCTGGGGGGGGGACGCTCCTCTTACCTGTGCGTGTCTGGGGGGGGACGCCCTCCTCTTACCTGTGCGTGTCTGGGGGGGGACGCCTCCTCTTACCTGTGCGTGTCCTGGGGGGGGGGGACGCCCCTCTTAACCTGTGTGTGTGTCTGGGGGGGGGGGATCGCTCCTCTTACCCTGTGCGTGTCCCATGGGCTGGGACCCTGCCCTTACCTGTGCGTGTCTGTACTGGGGGGGACGCTCCTCTTACCTGTGCGTGTCTGGGGGGGGGGACGCTCCTCTTACCTGTGCGTGTCTGGGGGGGGGGACGCTCCTCTGCAACCTGTGATGTGTCTGGGGGGGGGACGCTCCTCTTACCTGTGTGTGTCTGGGGGGGGGGGGGGCGCTCCCTCTTACCTGTGTGTGTCTGGGGGGGGGACTTGCTCCTCCTCTTACTGTGGGTCCTGGGGGGGACCCTCCTCTTACCTGTGTGTGTCTGGGGGGGGGACGCTCTCCTCTTACCTGTGTGTGTCTGGGGGGGGGGACCTCCTCCTTCCCTGCTGGGGGGGGTGGGGGCCCCTTACCTGTGTGTGATCCTGTGCCCGGGGAGATGCTCCTCTCCCCTGTGTGTGTCCGCCTATAGGATCTGGGGATCCTGTGCCCCTTCTACCGCCATACTGCTGGATCCTGGGAGGAGAGCTGCCCCCATACTGCTGGGCCTACGTGCCCCCTCCTCTCCCCAAGTCTACTGAAGGTGAGACCCTCGGGGGGGGGGGGGGGGTATTGCGGATACTGCTGGGGCCTGTGCCCCCCCCCCCCCCCCCATACTGGATGGGATCCTGTGCCCCTCCTCTCCCCCATACCTGGGATCTCCCCCATACTGCTGGGATCCTGTGCCCCCTCCTCTCCCCCCATACTGCTGGGATCCTGTGCCCCCCTCCTCTCCCCCATACTGCTGGGATCCTGTGCCCCCCCCCCCCCCTCTCCCCCATACTGCTGGGATCCTGTGCCCCCCCTCATACCCCATACTGATGGGATCCTGTGCCCCCCTCCCCCCATACTGCTGGGATCCTGTGCCCCCCCCTCCCCCCATACTGATATCCTGTGCCCCCCCCGTATACCCCCTCCTCTCCCCCATACTGCTGGGATCCTGTGCCCCCCCCCCCCGTACTGATGGGATCCTGTGCCCCCCCCCCCCCCGTACTGCTGGGATCCCCCCCCCCCCCCCCCCCCCCCATACTGCTGGGATCCTGTGCCCCCTCCTCTCCCCCATACTGATGGGATCCTGTGCCCCCCCCCCCTATACTGATAGGATGGGATCCTGTGCTCCCCCCCTCCTGGCATCTGAAACCCCTTGAAGGGCTGGGTGGCGTGGGGTTAGAGGCCCTTTACCCCTGACTGTAGACCTGTGTGGGAGTGGCTGACACTGACTCCTCCCTCTTCTTGCAGAAGTACATGTTGAACAACTCGAACGATGAGCACCAGCAGCTGTTCGATCTCATAGAAGGCATGCTGGAGTACGAACCGTCCAAACGCATGTCCTTGTCGGACGCTGTGAAACATCCGTTCTTCTCCCCTCTGAAGAGCGATCACGCACTGAAACACTGGGACACAGGGCGGGACATCAGCCGATGACTACACTGGACACCAGCCAATGAGGGGTCGTCCTGGTGCTTCATGGACTGATCTCAGCTGTCTATATGTGAAATATTCTATATATATATATATATATTGTGTATAGTCCGGAGGGGGAGGGGCTGCCATGTACATAGGACTCTGCTGGTGTGCCATCACTGCTCCACCCCATGGTGGGTGGCCTGCACTGCACCTGTACATTCTTGTCCTATAATTTATAATGTCAGTGTTGGGGGAGGGGCAGTGTGGCCCCATGCAGCTCGCAGTGTTTTTATATAAAGTTTTGTACAGTCTTTGTGAGAAATAAACACCTTATGTTTGTACGAAAACTGCGCCGTCCTATCATCAGTCCCGTCAGGTGCTTGTGAGGACCCAATACCTGGAGGGTCAATTCTGGATCTAGAACATGGAGGATGTCATACAGGACCACCACCAGTCTCCTGTCCGTCCTGTCAGTCCCGTCAGGTGCTTGTGAGGAGGCCCAATACCTGGAGGGTCAAATCTGGATCTAGAACATGGAGGATGTCATACAGGACCACCACCAGTCTCTGTCCGTCCACTCGTCAGTCCCGTCAGGTGCTTGTGAAGGCCCAATACCTGGAGGGTCAAATCTGGATCTAGAACATGGAGGATGTCATACAGGACCACCACCAGTCTCCTGTCCGTCCACTCGTCAGTCCCGTCAGGTGCTTATGAGGGCCCAATACCTGGAGGGTCAAATCTGGATCTAGAACATGAAAGATGTCATGCAAGACCGCCACCAGTCTCCTGTCCGTCCACTCGTCAGGTGCTTGTGAGGGGTCAATTCTGGCTCTAGAACGTGGAAGATGTCATGCAGGACCGCCACCAGTCTCCTGTCCGTCCACTTGTCAGTCCCGTCAGGTGCTTGTGAAGGCCCAATACCTGGAGGGTCAAATCTGGATCTAGAACATGGAGGATGTCATACAGGACCGCCACCAGTCTCCTGTCCGTCCACTCGTCAGTCCCGTCAGGTGCTTGTGAAGGCCCAATACCTGGAGGGTCAAATCTGGATCTAGAACATGAAAGATGTCATGCAAGACCGCCACAGTGGAGGTGCTTGTGAGGGGTCAGAACGTGGAAGATACAGGACCACCACCAGTCTCCTGTCCGTCCACATCCAGAGGATGCTCCAACCAAGGTGATGGGGATCCCGTATCTGAAGAATGCTTGGTCTGCATGTCCTTGAAGAGACGTTACTCTGGATACCTTCATGAAGGATGCTGCTGGTGGCAGGACCACCTATCTTCCTTGGCCAGAAAAGTCTGAAAGGACTTGTCCCTCACTGGTGGTGGTCGGGAAAAAGTCATTGTTATTTCGTGGGCCCCTTCAAACTGAACTCTGGGCTTTTTGGGCATGTACCCTGGGTCTACCAAAACCTTAGGCTGCCAGCCAGTAGTAGGCTCTCCAGATCTTCAGAGTGAAGGTGCCCCCAACTCAGTGGTGGGATGTCAACAGTCAGTGGTGGGGGGTGTATGTCCCATTACCAGCCAGGTGCAGATCTTCAGCGTGAAGGTGCCTCCAACTCAGTGGTGGGATGTCAGTCTGGAAGTTTGGGCAGTGTGCGTCTCAGATACCTGGATGTAGGGGGTGTGTCCCAAAGGTTACCAGCCAGGTAGGCTCTCAGATCTTTAGCGTGAAGGTGCCTCCAACTCAGTGGTGGAATGTCAGTCTGGAAGTTTGAGCAGCATGCGTCTCAGATACCTGGATGTAGGGGGTGTGTCCCAAAGGTTACCAGGCAGGTGTGCTCTGAGCCCCTATAGCCCCCTCTGCAGACTCCAGCTAGCCCTAGCAGGTGTCCTGAGGTGTATTTGCCGTAGTCCCTGTTGTAGAACTGTTTTAGGGGTTTTACTCCAACCTGTTCAAGACATCCACTCTAACTTGCCTTCATTTGGGCTTAGACCTTCCTCACGGAATCCATCAGGTGTGTCATGTCCTCCATCAAGAAGACTTTCTGACCTGCTTTTTAGGATGGGGCTGAGGTGGACTAGATCTGTGAGCACTTTTTAAGGCTTTCCCGTCTGGTCATGTGATCACCCGTTCTCCAGGTTCTTTGGGTAGGTGGTCTGGTTTTCTTGGGTGCCGCCTTTAGGGGGCTCTTTGGGATCTGTTCTGCTTTCAGTGGACCTATTAGGGTTCATTTACACTTTCCTCACAATGGGGCACTGGACACACTCCTCTAAAGCCCTCTGACTGCCAATCAAAGCCCGGTCCTTAAATAAAGTGGTCACCTTACAGTCCTGTTCACACGTTGTGTTTACTTCAGAAATGATCCCCCGTGTCACTTGGTGCTTGAAAACCTCCAGAGAAGTCTGACAACGCTCACTAACAGCGCCTGCAGCGTTTGAGGGGCTTTTATTCGGCTTTAGTTTTGCTTTGGAGGTATTGCAGGTATGAGATGTCCCAGGATGCACTGGGAAACCAACCGGGAAGATGTCATCAGCACTTCCAGTTCATGTGTATATATGCTGGGACTGTGTGGTGCAGACATCACATTGGGTGTGCAGTGAGGAGCAGCACGAAGGTGAGAGGGGCAACTAGCAGATGGCACACATGGGAACGCTATGGTGGAAGGTGAGCGGGGGCACCAGAGATAGGACTGAGCGTCGGGATCAGCAGAGTTGAGGGACTGGAGCAGAGAAACTAGCAATGCCATGTGTGGGGAGGTGAGTGGGGACTGGAGAGTGGACTGAGTGTTGGGCTCAGCAGCGCTGAGGGACCAGAGCAGAGAAACTAGCAATGCTATGTGTGGGAGGTGAACGGGGACCGGAGAGAAGACTGAGTGTCGGGATCAGCATAGTTGAGGGACTGGAGAGGGCTGAGTGTCGGGATCAGCAGAGCTGAGGGACCAGAGCAGAGAAATTAGCAATGCTATGTGTGGGAGGTGAATGGGGACCGGAGAGAGAAGACTGAGCGTCGGGATCAGCAGAGTTGAAGGACTGGAGAGAGGACTGAGTGTCGGGATCAGCAGAGCTGAGGGACCGGAGCAGAGAAACTAGCAATGCTATGAGTGGGGACCGGAGATGGGACTGAGCATTGGGATCAGCAGAGCTGAGGACTGGAGAGAGGATTGAGCGTCGGGATCAGCAGAGCGGAGGGACTGGAGCAGAGAAACTAGCAATGCTATGTGTGGGAGGTGAGAGGGGACTGGAGAGAGAGGACTAAGCATTGGGATCAGCAGAGCGGAGGGACCGGAGCAGAGAAACTAGCAATGCTATGTGTGGTAGGTGAGTGGGGATTGGAGAGAGGACTGAGCATTGGGATCAGCAGAGCTGAGGGACCGGAGAGAGGGACTGAGTGTCGGGATCAGCAGAGCTGAGGGACTGGAGAGAGGACTGAGTGTCGGGATCAGCAGAGCTGATGGACCGGAGCAGAGAAACTAGCAATGCTGTGAATGGGGACTGGAGAGAGGGCTGAGCATTGGGATCAGCAGAGCTGAGGGACTGGAGAGAGGACTGAGCATTGGGATCAGCAGAGCTGAGGGACTGGAGCAGAGAAACTAGCAATGCTATGTGTGGGAGGCGAGAGGGGACTGGAGAGAGGACTGAGCGACAGAATCAGCAGAGCTGAGGGACTGGAGAGAGGACTGAGCATTGGGATCAGAGAGCGGAGGGACTGGAGCAGAGAAACTAGCAATGCTATGTGTGGGAGGTGAGAAGGGACTGGAGAGAGGACTGAGCGACAGGATCAGCAGAGCTGAGGGACTGGAGAGAGGACTGAGCATTGGGATCAGCAGAGCGGAGGGACTGGAGCAGAGAAACTAGCAATGCTATGTGTGGGAGGTGAGAAGGGACTGGAGAGAGGACTGAGCATTGGGATCAGCAGAGCTGAGGGACCGGAGCAGAGAAACATTGGGTTCTAGCAGAGCTGTGGGAGGTGAGAGGGGTGGGACTGGAGAGGGGGATCAGCAGAGCTGGCGGGGGAGGGGGGTACTAATGAGCTGGGGATCTGCTGAGTGGGGTCACCACGGAGTTTCTACTGGACACATGGGGGCCAAGCTTCAAATCCGGTTGGCGCTTTACCGCGTCTTCAAGTCTTGGTGTGAATGAGCCCTTCGTGGGCTGTTTTCGGGATTGTTCACCTTCCAGTTGGCCCATTTTTGGACGTCTTGGCAGGCAATGACCTCCCGTGTTCCTTGATGGGTGAGAAGGAAAACCAATTCCCTACTGACCTTAGAATCCTTCTCTTGACGTCCATCGAGGGCCACAGGCCACTCCCCCCCTTGGTGCTGATTGGCCACAAACGGTTGGAGGGGTTGTCCTCTGACTTGCTGTGTCCCTCACTGTAGTCCAATCAGCTTCTGTTCCTGGCGGAGTGAGGCTCTCGGGTCTGAGTTCTGAAGATTTCTGGGTGTGTCATAAGTGGGGGAGGGGTCGGTGTGTTGTTTCTGGCTGTTGTCACCTTGCCGGCTGCGTGGGCAGCTAATCCCGGCCTGTGATGTGTTGTCACCGGTACCTATAAATCGGGATTATGACGCGGCCTGATCCCGATATTAACCGGATTATTGTGAGATTTATCTGATCGTTGGAGTCTCAGCTGGACAGGTGAGCCCAGGAGCCGGCAAACACAGGTGAGCGCCATCATTGGTCGCTGTGTACGTGGCCAGGGGGAGTCCTGGACAGGCATTGTGGGGGGTTGGTCTGGTATTGGGGAGTAGTCCTCCATGGTGGGGGGTTGTTTGGGGGAGTCCTGGCCAGGCATTGTGGGGGGGTTGTCTGGTATTGGGGAGTCCTGGACAGGCATTGTGGGGGGTTGTCTGGTATTGGGGAGTCCTGGCCAGGGCATTGTGTGGGGGTTGTCTGGTAATTGGGGTGAGTCCTGGCCAGGCATTCTTGGGGGTTGTTCTGGTAATGGGGAGTCCTGGCCAGCATTGTGGGGGTGTTGTCTGGTATTGGGGAGTGCCGGCGGTGCATTGTGGGGGGTTGTCTGGTATTGGGGAGTCCTGGCCAAGCATTGTGGGGGGTTGTCTGGTAATTGGGGAG